GTACATAACATAGGCCAAGTTGTGGGTGCATGGAGTAGGAGCATACAGTGGTTAGACAGTGAAAATTGGCTGCTCATTTTGGATTCCAGAGCTCCAAAACACAGACTTGAAGTCATGAGACTTGGTCAGGTGGTGCATAATAGGTCCCAAAAAATGAATGTGAAAAAATAAAAACAAAAAATAAAGTTTCAAAATTTGTGAAAAATAAAAAATAAAATTGATTTTTTTCAAAAGCTTTGATATTCATTTTGGGGGAGTGGGAGTTAAAGATGGCCATCGGTACCCGGGTACCTCTAGCGGTACCCTGGTACCTCCTTTGTTTTGCTCAGAAATTGACACCAGGTACCTCACCTGGCACCCCCTGGCGGGTACCAGTGGTACTTTGGGGGGTACCAGCGGTACCCGCGGCTGTGGTGCAAATGGCACTCTTATGACTTGAAATTGCAGTTCACTTTTTTTTCTCACTACATGCAAGTATTGTGTTGAGCTAATCTTCTAATACTATCACCTTTCTTTTACCTTTCCCATCTTATTTACCCCTCTTAGCAGTCTGAATACCATCTTTCCACTTGGCCAACACCCCTTCCTTTATCATCCCATTTTTTTAGTAGAAGGCAATGGCCATCCCCCTACTCAGTGACTGCGCATTAAAGAGGGTACCTCTAGCGGTACCCTGGTACCGCCTTCATTTTGCTCAGAAATGGACACCAGGTACCTCACCTGGCACCCCCTCGCAGGTGCCAGGAGGGTCCGGGCGGTACCAGGCAAACAGGTGCCGGGTACCGATGTCCATCTTTAGTGGGAGTGCTGAGAGAAAGAAAGATTGGGAAATAAGAAGAATGATTATAAATGAAATTTTTTGGAAAAACTGGTTTTCAGATGGCTTCAAACAGCTGCTGAGTGGGGCATTCACCAGCCCACTTTGCAGCAAAGCACTAGAATTTACTGTTTTGGCTCCAATCTGGACCACCAACCTGGCTAAACCTTTTTTGGTTTCAATTTTTTTTTCATTTGTAATCATTCTTTCCATGTTCCACTCTTTCTTTCTCTCAGCACTCCCACTCCCCCAAAATGAATATCGAAGCTTTTGAAAAAAAATCAGTTTTATTTTTGATTTTTCACAAATTTTGAAACTTTACTTTTTGTTTTTATTTTTTCATATTCATTTTCTGGGACCTATTATGCACCACCTGAACAAGTCTCATAACTTCAAGTCTGTGTTTGGGAGCTCTGGAATCCAATATAAGCAGCCACTTTTCACTGTCTACCCACTGTACAACACTACAAGTCTATCTCAACATCCTGCAGGGGGGATTGGGAGAACAACTCCCCGAGACATCAACACATGGTCCTGGGATTTGTTTTTACCAAGTTTCGGAAGTTTTTTTCCAAAGGATTCAAATTTGATTTTTATACAGCATTCTAGATGAAATCTCAAGCTCAAGAGGTTCACAATTTCAGTTTTTTGAGATTTCAAATTCCTCTCTGCCTGGAACATTTCTCAAAACTTCCATGAAATTTATGGTTTTGTGTAGAATGGTGTTCAACAATCAACTTCCCCAAAGCCCCCAATATCAAATGTCAACTACAAAAAGTTGTGCAATTTTGGTTGCAATGTTACATTTTTTTTGGAAAGTCACTCTGCACCAACAAATAGGGGGTTGATAAGCGCACGCCAACCCCCATGGCGCACGCCAATCCGCTGCAGGGTAGATTGGCCTGCAGTTGGCGTGCAGGCCTGCACGCCAAACTGGGTCCTAAACCCATATGTATATGGGTTTAGGACCGGGGCTATCCCATAGGACCCAGGCCTGGGTCCTAGGGGATAGCCCAGAGGGTAATTTTTGGAGTTTTTTTGGCAAGAAAGATAAAATAAACGCTTGAGGCTGGGAGGAACCCCTCCCAGCCAGATCCTCAGATCACCAGCTCGGGGGCTGGGTTACCTACCAGGGAGGATCCCCTAGAACGCGATGGCTGGAGATAAAGCTTTTCGCCTCGGCTCGTACTAGGAACAGCTCAAGGTTACTTCCTAGATCTTTGCAGAGTCGGTGAAGTGTGTCTGTTTGTTTAATCATGCCTTGCTTAGTCTCAAGGGCAAGGCGAAGGATCCAATGAACCTGTCGCAATGCCCCTTTAGGTAAGACTACAGGAAGGAAAAGTCATACTTGAATTGATCTTAGACCGGGTTAAAACGGGGTGGGCCATGTTTGTAATGCTTCTTCATATAACTCATTCACAGTCGTCAAGGGTTAC